TCAGCTGTGTCGCCCACACAGTTGGTGTTTGCACCCTCCACACACGCTGGAGATCTGTCAGACATCAGAACTGTGGAGATGCGAGGGAAGAGCCTGCACACTGTGTGGGTGCTTTGTGCAAGCTGCTCAGTGGCCTTTGAGTGGGCCCCGCGTGCTCCAAGAATGTGCAGAGGTGGCTATTCTCATTTTTCTCGTTTCTTTCCTTCCAGACTCTTCTCTTGCTCCGGTTGGCTCTGGCCAAAGACTGTGCGTGGGGCGAGGCGCAAGAGGGCTGGGAAAGAAAGTGCAAAGAGTTTGTTCATTCGGAAGACTGTGATGCTTAGAGGAGGGAAGGTCAGATCTGCAGAGGTGAGATCAAGCAAGCAAGAAAGGCTTACATCAGGTGTGACCTCAGCGTCTGCTATCAGCTATCAGGGGCGGTTAATTCCAGGGTCCATGGCTCACTCCTGTTCCCAGTACCCACTAGCCCAACTCGGCAGAGGCAACTTCTCTGGGCTTCAAGAGGCCCGAAAGCCGCGGGGCGAGTTGCGAGCTCACAAACGTGAGTAAGAAGAGCGCCTCCGGATAACATCCTGTGACTACTGGTCGCTTCCTACCATGTATCTCCTACAACTTGGCAACTTCAAGTGCCAGACTCCCACTGCGGCCAAGGGGTGGAGTGCAGGGAATATCGGGGAGCTGTAGAAAAAGGCTGTGTGCTGGCAAAGTGTCCGGCTCCTATTTGTCCTTCTCTTTTGCCTGTGTGCGTGCGCGTGTGTGCGTGCCTGAGTCTCTCACTCTCCCTCCCTCTCTATCTGAGCGAGTGTGTGTGTGTGTGTGTGTGTGTGTGTGTGTGTGTGTGTGTGTGTTCACGAGAACCTCTTCATCCTTTTCACCTCTAGGAATTTTTAAGGGCAGACCTGACAGTCTGAAGCCCTAACTTGGGCCAAGTTTTTGCTCCCAACCTGGCAAGAAATTTCTATGGTGAATAAAACTTGCTCTTGAGTGTTTTGTTGGGATGACCGCTAGGTACCAATACCCTTTCTCTCTCCCCCTCCAGATTGAATGGAAGCCTCCCAGCTTGATGTTGAGAAACCTGGTTAGACAGACAAGCCTGGGAAAGTCATCCCATCCCTGAGCCGGGAGCAGGAGGCTGTCCGAGTTTTCAGTGGCGGCTTGGAGACTAGGAAAGACAGAGGCCCGCCGCGTGCACAGACAGTTAGTTAATGGAAACCCTGTAAATCGGTTTTAAGTGCACCCAGGACAGAGGGGGAAGAAGGTGGAGAGGGTGGTGGATGAGGATGGCACAGAGTGAGGGACAAGGGGTTACCCATCCGCCGCTCTGAAACTAAGAACAGCTTCCTCCCCCCTCCATTGTTCTTAACTTAGAAAAATAAACGCGTTAAAGAAAGTCATCGGGATGGGGAAACCCGAGCCCCTTGCCCGCCCCAAGCGGAGGAGTCCGCGGCCTCCTTTGGCAGGGAACCCGGCTGCGGCTGTCCCCCTCTCTCCCTCCCTCCTCCCCGCCCCCGGAGGGGCATTGCTACTACGGCGATCGCCACCTCACGCCGATGGAATGCTCAAAGTATGCACACGTTCCCAAAAGTAGACCTCCTTCACCGCCGAGTAGCATACATCACCCGTGGCAGCCTTCCACCTTCTCAGGCGTTTCGTAACCGAGTAAACTGAGAGCTGGGAACAGCCCTCTA